GTCTCTTTATCTACTTTAAGGACTTGTGTGAAAATCTGATGTTTTAGATCAGATTTATGCAGATTACAGAAATACAGAAAATTTTAAATAGTTACCAAACTTTCAAACACCGTTGAATTTTTAGAAATATCATGTTTGGTCTGTTTTCACTTTGCCTTTATTATAGTGTATTATATTGTGTATTATATTACAGTGTATTATAGTGCAGTGTATTATATTACTGTATATTAATAGGGAAACAAGTGAATGTTGTAACATTTGACCACAATAATAAAACAATACGTGAACACTGAAGGAATCTGATTTTGTTCATAACTCACTGAAGGAACATCCTCAGTTAAATATTCATAAATAGAATGAGAACTAAAAGTTATGAAGAGTCCCTCTCTGCTGCTTGTGTCTGGTCGTCGCAGTAGAAGCTCAGTGGGTTAAATGTTCATGTTTGCATAGTTTTGTTCTGATATGGATGTTTTAAACGCTGCCATCTACCCCATCACTTGGACGTGTCCTAGACAAGTTCAGTCTTGATTTACATGAGGTTTGTAAGTGATGACAGAAAGTTTGTGACTCAAGCTTTAAAATGAGTATTTGCAGTGTGCTTTTTGTAATGAAGTCTGTTCAGAGTCCATTTACCGATTGGACACTGTTTTTATTTTTTAGTTGACAACAATTGCTACAGAAACAAAAGGACCAGGACGATCCCAGCTCTGCACGCAGCAGCCTGTCGAACTGGTCTCACCAGGTTTTGTGATGCCACAATTTGTTGTCTGCAGAAATGTGGCACACCCATCGCCAACTTAAATGTCTGAATCATCGATGGGTGTATTCACACATTCACTTATCATACTGTACTGCTAACAGAACAAATGGATAACCTATGAGTGACTCCATGACTTGTCCCTAGCTTATGTTTAACGTGCACAAGCAAATGAGGAACTGCTGCAGAGCGTGTTGGAGCAGATGGCTGACTCAGTGGCTTGTAGCATCAGCGTATGAAAATGATGTCAAACCTGCTGATAGAAGTCATAAAAGTTTGAATAAGATACCAGCACGCTGATATTTGATGGCAAAAGTTTGTCATCTTCAGAAACCGAACAAAAACTTTGTACATGCTCAGTTTTCTTCAAAACTGCCGCGTTGCTGATAAATTAGACATTACAGGTAAGTTGCTCACAAG